TCAGACCCAAAGATCCTGCCTTTCAGTGATGGTGAGGGTGACCTGGAACAGACTTTTCCTAGATCAACTCTCTTTGGTAGCCTTCTATTGACTAGTTAAATGGAATTTCTAGAGAATATTTTTCCATTAAATGGATGATGACAAGTGTATTTATTGTTTAATTGTTTAGGTTGCTTTTCCCCTCTTATTTTATGTTTTTATTCATTAACAAGGATATTTTTAATTATCATTGTGCTTGATTTTTTTCGTCATTGTTACTTACTTTTGGGAGACTTTGGAAATTATAGTGGTGTGAAACCAAACCAAACCATTTCAACCAGTCAATAAATGCTTGAAACTAATCAAGGAGAGAAGCAACTTAGAACTAAGGAGAAATTTCCTGACAGTTAGAACAATTAACCAGTGGAACAACCTGTCTCCAGAAGTTTTTAAGAAGAGACTGGACAGCCATTTGTCCGAAATGGTATAGGGTTTCCTGCCTGAGCAGAAGGTTGGACTAGATGACCTCCAAGGTCACTTCCAACTTTATTATTATTATTATTATTATTATTATTATTATTATTATTATTATTATTATTATTATTATTATTATTATTATTATTATTATTATTATTATTATTATTATTATTATTTGATCATTTTCTTGTTTTGAATTATGGGTTAGGGCAAGTTAGTAACACTTGAATTTAGATTTTCAGTTCTAGTAGATAGACTTGTATTTTCAAGAGTGCCATGGTACTTATGAAAATACTGACATTAGACTGTCTGGTTTTGTCAATCCAAATTTATTTAATTCACAATATATAGAATAGAGTAAAACAGGAACAAAATTAAAATGTATTTTGGAATATGTTGCTGTTATCATTTTATCCAGCTTTTGAATTAATATACCATAATAATACATTTACTAGTATGAAATACATTCTTTCATTTCTGAAAATGTGCTTTGAACTTTTAAAATGTATCAAAAGAGTAAGTTGTCTATGCAAGCATTTAAAACATTTTCTATCACTTACCTAATTTTCTTGAGATATATACCTTCTTTTAAATCAGTAACTTAGGAGTATTGACTTGAAAGACAAACATATAGGTTTAAAATGAACAGCAGCAATAAAAATTCTTATCACAAAGTGTATTATGACTATTAAATATTGATTAGGCATATGTTTGCATTTCAGAATGAGTTAAAGATGGAATATATAGTCCATTCATATCTTTGTTCATTTGTTTTCAAATTAAAAGAGGGTCTATGTATAGGTATTTAATTTATTATGCTATCATTTTCTTACATTGTCATGCGGAAATTTATTGTCATGTTGGGAGTAATCTGACATTGTTCTTACAATTATCAACCACAGGCTTGAAAAAGGCCTGAATTGGTGTGTGCAGACACTAAGACTGCCAGATTGATTCTTGACTTCCCCAAGCTAGCACTCTTCAGATGTGCTTGACTACAATTTCCATCATCCTCTGTCTACATACTTAAAGAAGTAATCGACTGCCATGTTCCATATGGATTAATCATAATCTGAAAGAATATTATTGTGCAGTATTGCATTGTAGATACACTTGGGTGTCAAGCTGTTAGAATTTTATCAGGTACTGCAACAGAATATTCTTCATAATAGTAAGAGAAGACATCCTGTTACATGACTAAAAAGATGTGTTACAAAGTAATAATGCAGGTAAGTACATTATTATCTATATGAGTTGTATTGTGCATATGTTCATAAATATGCATGTACAGGAGAAAAAAGTTACAGCTCCAGATACTGGTTCCTTAGCGTGAGTTAGAGGACCTTCAGATTTTATGCATGCCAAAGTTGCTTGCTCCACCAAGAGTTGCTGGGAAAGAAACATCTGGAATCGACAGAGGTAGGAGATATCACCTTTTAGGTTATAGATAAGCTAATGTGAAAATTCAGGACCCATATCTGGAAAAGTCCTGTCATATCAAGGACAGGACAAGAGGGAGAATCTTAATTATTTTATTGTCAACAAAAGGCCTTGGAGCTGCTTCAAGGAAAGGGGTAAAAACAGGACATTTTGTTCACAATTAATGGCCTATAGCTCTTCATGGGATAGGTGGACATGTTCTCATGTGATACTTTTGCAGAATATCAGAGCTGGAAGGGGGCTTGGAAGTCTTCTAGTCCAACCCCCTGCTCAAGCAGGAAACCCTATAACATTTCAGACAAATTCTTCTTAAAAACCTCCAGTGTTGGAGCACCCACAAGAAACCAAATAACAAGAAATGTGAAAAAGAAACCACAACAAACGGAGATTGCCCTAAATGAATGAATGTGTTTTGGGATTGGTGGCTTTACCGCATAAATGAGCTAGAAAGCAGTCCAGCAGCTCTTGTGTTAAGTAGTGTATTTTCAAAAGATTTCAAAAGAATCTTTCCAACTGGAAGAATGGATTTTAAAATAATTGGGTCAGTGCAGTAAAAGCAAACAGAAAGTGTAGCATAGTGGAACAGCAATAACAAAACCCAAATTTCACAATCACACTAATGATAATTATCTCCATCAAATTTTAATCTGTGGCAAAGATTAAAAAAAAGTTGTATTCATTGCTGGTAATTATTAAAAATGAGATTGAAAATAAAATTGTCAGCACTGTAATGCCTATACACACTGTAAATCTATATCGTCACATAAATAATATACACCGTCTGTCTTCTATGCTGCACTTCAAAAAAATATTTTACAGTTGAAAAAGACAAAAAATACATAGAGAATAGCTCCTTTATGAAGAAAGACTACATCTTTGTGAGATTTGTTTTCCAATTTGTAAATAAGGTGGGTTATAGGTGGCATGAATATTGAAAAATAAGGTGTGGCATCAATATTGGAAATAGAAACAGATTCTTCTCACACAAAATTATAACTCTGTGTCATCACCTCCAGCTAAATCCAAGGAAATGCATGCTCAAAATATATGAAAAGTATTTTTGTATTTACACAGCACATTAAGCTATTGGGTTGGATAGCACCAAATGAAATGATGGTCTTCCAGCTTATCTAGGTTTCAAAAGAGATTGAAGTTATGTAGGCTAGTAGCTGTAGTAGCTCTCCCTACATATTCTAGTCACCATCGGATAACATTATACTGCCATTCAAGCAAGTTGAAAAAGAAACTCTCTTCAAATCTCCTGGATCAACACCAAGAAATTTAATATCAATGGGAGGAACATGCAGGGAGGTCTTGGAAGGGACCAGCATGATAGCAAATTCCTGTACTTGAGTGTTCAGGAATTTTAGGCAAACACATGGATTTAATTTCATCCCGGTTTACATTTTTCTGCAAATCTGTGCAAAGCTCTGATTGAGTGCTTTACTTTAATGAAGGCTCATCATACAAAACACCCCTCAGTGCTACTTTGGGAAACAATGACCACACACACTGTACTTTTTAAAACAAAGCAACTATATTGCTTTGTTTGGCATCACTTTGAAGTCTCATTCAACATTTCCAGGGATCTCAACCAACTCTTTCATCAGCTACTGGAAATATTAGAGGAAGTTTACAATGCTTGGGCAATTCATATGCAGAAGCCTCTTCCGGCCATAAATATTGTAAATCCAAACAGGAACACTTTAGTAAAAGAAGATTCATCTAAGTCCAAAATATCTATCGATCTAGATAAGACACCATGCTGTGCTATCAGTCATCTGTGAGCCCAGAATGGTGGTCTATAGTGAAAAATGTTCTTATATGAGGTTTTAGATGACAGGAATGTTCACATGAGTCAAAACTCTCGTGGCACGGGGTTTAAGGTCTCATGGAAGTTTCTGTGTGTACAGCTGAAGACAATTCTGGTTGCACACTGGATTTTGCAGCTTGGACCAAGAGCACAGCACAGTTTGGGGAGAGGTTAAATTTCTTGACTTTCCACATTTGTCCATATTTAACACAAGTAATAAATACATCAAGACCTGTAACCATATTTGAATAAAGGGGGCTTTTTGTCTGATCCACAGTCTTTGCTCCAGTAACTAGTAGGAGTTAAAATACCAAACATTGACACTTATTGTGATAAACACTCTTGCTTTCACTAATCTGCAATGCATCACTCAAACCTCAAACTACTGTTCTGTAAGTTGTGCTGCTGGCCATGTCACCTTCTGTCTCAATGACTCCACCACATCTTTGGGGAAGATCAGAAAACTTTATGGGGTATGGTATGGTATGGTATATCATTATCAAACCTATGGAAATCCAGAAGGATATCTCTTCTTTAGGTGGTTGTTATGGTGCTGGTACTGATGGAGAAGACACTGTGGTGTTGCTAATTGAACAGTACTTTCACATCATGCAATCAAATCCTTTGAGTGAGACTTTGAGTGAGATGATCTCCCCAAAACCAAGATGAACTGGGCAAAACTGGGATAACTGCCAGTATGGTCTCTGGATCAGGACCACAAGTAGATCAAACTGTTAAAAGATCTCTATCCTGCTGTATTTGATGTAGAGTAGACAAAAAAAAAAAGCTATGGTTCTTGTCTATTTCTCCAGAGTAGCATAATGTGACATAAGTATTGGAAAATTTTCTGTGACCTGTTAAATTTCATCCCAGCTAAGAAAAGATCTGAGCTTGGCAGCCATGTCTTCGCCATGTTTCGTTGAAAAGCCTTTGATGTGGACAGGAGTGGCTCAAGCTTTGCAACCCCCCCAAATCTTAGAGCATTCAGAAACATCCAAGTAGGTAGACAGATAGGCTCAATGGAAGACCCAGCACCAGGTCAAATGGTCCGTGAGTATCTGCCTAATGCTTTCCTTTAGATTTAAGACACCTGGAACAATGCTATCATATATAGCACATCATGAAAATGTCTAATACATGATTAATTGGTAATTATGCTTATGCAAGACCTTGGGAAGTAGGGAGCTGTTGGGGCCTTGAGCCAAAAAGATAAGATCCCAAGAAGGGTATAAATGGGGAAATATTCCTTCAGGACATTCTACTCCAATTTACAAAATTACCAACAGACAGAATGAAAGTCCTGTGGATCTTTGCCTTCCTTGGAGCAGCATGTGAGTTTTAAAACAGATACTTGATTCTTCTAGTCTGTGAAGTTGGAGGGTACCGTGGACGCAGCCATTTTTTTCTCTCCATCTTCCTCACCGGGGAGCACTAAATGAGTGGGTCCTTTAGGGCTCAAATATTAATTTACTCTTTAATGGACATCTAGCTTTAAAGTATCCTCCCTTTTCCCATTAGATCTTTTGAATCGAAGGTTTACTGTATTTCCAGGCAGTTCTGGTTATCTTTCTAACTAGACTTTATTAAATGAAGGCGGATGGATATCCTTTGGATTCAACCACCTTAATCAGTTGAACGCCTAAGTCAGACCATCATTTTCTCCATGGGTAGTTCTTTTATTTGTATATTTCTACTATTCTCTCCGAAGCATTTAGAGCCCTGCAATTTTCTAAGATGTACTAAGCCCTAATGAATACATGTTTTGCTGTGTGAGAAGAGTAAAGAAACCTCTCTCAGTACAAGGAAGCCTTTGTGAGACTCTTTTGGACTGAATTTAAGTAAAATTCCTTGTATGTCTGACTTGAAAGAGAATCCTAGATTTCCTTTGTACTTGACTTAAAGCTAAACCTATTAACAGTAGAAACACACACACACACACGCTCAAAACCTTTCTTCTCTCTTCTGAAGATTTACCTGAGTGTAAAACTGGTTTTACCATTTGATTTTGGTATTGTTTTTGGTAACAATTCTCATTGTTCTTTCTTTGCTGTTTCCCTCAACATACATAGAATACAAACATATTCGAAGCTGGCTTGATGCCTAGAACTATTCTCTCTGATATCCAGCTTTCTATATGTACTTATATGTTTATATATGAGTGCTCATTATTTATGTGTGTATAATTTTATGTATGAAACATATAGATTGCTCCAATCTCCCACAACGTGCAAATATGTTACGGATACCTGCATACATCATATGAATCTGAGAAAACCAAAACCACAGCTCATTATCACCTTTTGGGGAACTTATATACATATATTAGGAATGTTGAAATAATTCAATCATTCGGTAGTCCATTATTAAGTAATCTCAGTTGAGACTAACATGCTTCAAATTACAGAGGAGTAGTGGTCTTCTTTATAAATAGCACCCATTGCTTCATGGTGTCAATAGGAATATATACTCCAGTTGGCTTTCTACATAGTAGTGCTGTATTTATTCATTTTGATGTTCCTTTTCTTATCAGTTGCTGCCCCATTTGAGGATGATGATGACAAGATTGTTGGAGGATACACCTGCCAGAGAAATGCTATTCCTTATCAGGCTTCACTGAATTCTGGCTATCATTTCTGTGGTGGTTCCCTCATCAATGAACAATGGGTTGTTTCAGCTGCCCATTGTTATAAATCGTGAGTAAAGAGTATTTTTATGATGATCTTAAAGCAATTTCTGATAAAGCCGATCTCTATACATGGAAGTTAAAAATGCACCAACAATAAATCAATGTCATATTCATTCAGTAAAGTCTTGCGTGCTTGTGATTCCACCATTATTTATTCCTAGTCTGGTGTTTTATTATTAAAAATCAATCCCAAAGCCAAAAAAAAGTCTATGATATCAAGGTAATCTTACAGGACTATAACTGTCCACTCAATTATATAGACTGTGATAGTGGCATGGAAATATCTTAAATAAATCAATTACATTAACTTACATAGAGTGCAAATCTAATGATAATGATCTGTAAGGGTTCCTTACATCACTTGCTAAGCTAACTCATTACCTGAAAGTCACAGGTTTCTTCAGAATTAGCCTGTCGTGAAATTGATTCAAGGGGCACATTTTTTTGTACCCGGATCCAGTGTGTGAGAGTAGAAACCTATTCCGGATCTCAAAGGTCAGGCAACTGACCCAAGGATGAAATGCAGCAAGCAGAAAATGTTATTTTGATTAGAAGGCAAAATGTCTGTTTCTAATAATTACTGTATATCAGTTACAGTAAGGCTGAGCCAGACGTTTTATACTATCTGCCAAAAGTCAGGAATAGTCTTATGCTATTTTGTTTTGCACCTTAAGAGGGCTTTGAAGCTTCAGTATGCATTATTTATGCTTAGAGCAGTGGTTCTCAACCTTTTTAATGCTGCGACCCCCAACCGGTCGTAAGTCGAGGACTAAACCGGTCATAAGTCGAGGACTAAACCTGTCGTAAGTCGAGGACTATCCAACCGGTCGTAAGTCGAGGACTTTCCCTGCCCGGGAGTGCCGTGCATGCATGGTTCCGCCCCCTGCGCCGACCGAGGCATAGCTGGCAAGTGGCAGAGACGGAGCAGGCCGACCACCAGCTGGCCCAGCCCAGGGGAGGTAAGGCACCCGCCGGAAAAGGGGAAAAAATGGCGGACAAAAAAAATGGCGGACAGCCTTGCTTGGCGACCCCCGTGAAATGGTCGATTGACCCCAAATGGGGTCGCGACCCATAGGTTGAGAACCGCTGGCTTAGAGCATAAAACCTGAACCTAACCCTGAAAATGGAAGTTTTCTACCTTGTTTCTCCTGCATTTTGTCTTATGAGAAAACACTACTTTATGCTTAAGGGCAAAGTTTAACTTCCAACTCCACCACTAAGGACATGGGAATTAATAAGATTGTCTATGAAGATTCTCAGTCATCCAGGTCACGGTTGTCCCAAAGGTGCTTTTTCAAGAGGCAACTGGACTTTTTGTTTTTCTTTGAAGATCTTTCGCTTCTCTTCCAAGAAGCTTCTTCAGGTCTGACTGGCTGGTGGGGGAATGGAAGGATTTATATTCCTTGCAGACAGCTGGTCATTTGCATTCTTTTAGAGAGTCATTGAGGCCACTTGGAGGTTTAGCTGTGTCCTCAAGGTCACCTGAGTGGTGCAAATGGGTGTGGAGTCTTCTTGGAACTGCTGAAAGAACTGTGATCCTTCCATTCGCCACCCTCCAGTCAGACCTGAAGAAACTTCTTGAATGAGAAGTGAAACATCTTCAAACAAAAACAAGAAAGTCCAGTTGCTTCTTGAAAAAGTACCTTTGGGACAATTAATAAAATTGTTATTTTATTGTTGTGAACCGCCCAAAGTTGTTGAGAGCTAGTACATCTTAGGTTCTTAGGAAGAATGTTATGTTGTGAAGATCAATACCAGTGAAAGAATTGTCTGCCATGACTTTGTTGTGAATAGATAATAAGTGTTTACTTATTCTTTCCAACTTCTGTATCTTTACAATGGTAGGAGGCCTTGTATGCATATTTCACTAATTTATGCAACAGTTATATATAATGTCTAAACAGCTTTAAAAAGATCACCTTACTTTTTTGACCTTTGCATTTTCTTATATTGGGCTTTTTAAAATGTAAATTCCTTCACAGGTACATTTTTTAAAACATTCTTTTAACATTTTGTTTGTATGCAAAATTCAAGAATAATTTTTGGGGGATGCTTTGGGGGAAAGCATAGAATTTGATGAAGCAAACATCAAACTTTCTTAGTTAATACCAGAATTTGTATTGTTCTGGAGATGAGTGAAAATAGATTCTCTAAATTCATATTCAACCCTAATCAGGCTAGAATTGTTTTAACCTCTGACTTTGTGAAATTTATGATATTAGTCATGAATACATGCAAAGTTCCCATGTTAGATTGGACTCTACTAAAACTATGATGGTTGATCTGATTGCTTGTTCTTTAACATAAGGTATTCAAAGCTTTTTTCTTACCTTGAGATCAGACATTGCTTTGTACAACCAATATAATGCTGCGATATTAACTTTCAGCCGCATGGATGTGAGACTTGGAGAGCACAATATTGAGGAAAATGAAGAGAGCGAGCAGATTAAAAAACCTGCAAAAATAATTGTTCATCCAGACTATGACTCTTGGCTTCTGGATAATGATATCATGCTCATCAAGCTGGAATCACCTGTCACTATTGATGCAAGTGTCTCACCTATCCCTTTGAGTATTGGATGCCCAGCAGTTGGTACTAACTGCTTGATCTCAGGATGGGGCAATACTCTCAGCAATGGTGGTGAGTATTAGCAAGAATTGGCTAACTTATTCTGAGTCCCAGGTACATGACTGAAGAACTGTAATCGTTACTATCCGCTTGTCAGTTCTACAATGTAGACCAGACTAAGAAACCATTGCCATGTCAGTCAAGACTGATTTTATAAATGGCTCCCACCATTTGTATTTCAAAGATATGGCTATTTCCCCAGGACTTTGGTGGGGATGATTGATGCCCCCTTTTCTTCCTTTTCCTTGTTCTTATCCAGATTTGTTTTCTCTGTCATTTTTGTTTTGTGTTTCTTGTATTGTTGCTTGTTCTTAATTTGTAAACTACCTGGGATTCAGGCTTTTTAGTAACAAGAACAACACCTCCCTATCCCAGGTCCTTTGGAAGGACTCAATTGGTGGATAAAAATGCCAAATCCATCCTAAGCATCAGGCTGACTGTATGACAAACCATAATAATAACAACACAATCTTGCAAACCCGAATGTGCTTCCCCTTCCCTCATTTTATCTGCATGTGAGCTATGAAGGGGCTTATATGAGACATTTTTTTCAAATTATTTTCTTGACCTCTGCTCAAGCCCCTCTTATCTGGCTATTGCCTTGGTAGCAGCTTTGCCTCTTATCCTTCAAGGCCATTCCCTAAGCCCTCTTCATCACCAAATGCAAGCAACACTTCCTAAATCTAGAAGTGTGTTTCTTAAATCGCTGTTGAATTGCCAACTGTCCTAAGTATTCACAGGGATAGAGACATTCAGGGGCAACTTGAATCTATCATGAAATTCCAGCTTTAAACTCTAACATTAAGAAGAAAATGTTTCTTGGACTGAACCTTGAACAAATGTAAGCCTACAAATGCTGGTTTGGATGGTTTTAGAGCACTGAAGATGAATGTGCATCAAATTCCCCCTTTTTTTTCTTGAGGCACTTTTCTTATCTGAGTTAGTTACCTCACCTCAGATATCATATTCCATAAAAGTATCTAGCCAGCTAGTTGCTTTTACTTGTTTTGAATTACAGGGTTGCTACTGATCATTTACACAGAGTCTTGTGGCATCTATTAAGACTAACAAATGTTAATATAAAGCAGGGGTAGTCAACCTTGCTCTTTTATGACTCGTGGACTTCAACTCCCAGAATTCCTGAGCCAGCTTAGCTGGCTCAGGAATTCTGGGAGTTGAAGTCCACGAGTCATAAAAGAGCCAAGGTTGACTACCCCTGATATAAAGCATATATTTTTACGAGCTGCTGCTCATTTCCTTATTTTTCCCCTTTCTCTTTTTTTTTCTAGTAAACTACCCTGATCTTCTGCAGTGCCTGAATGCCCCAATCCTAAGTGATGAGGAATGCAATGCTGCTTACCCAGGACAGGTCACCCCAAATATGGTCTGTGTTGGATACCTAGAGGGTGGCAAAGATTCTTGCCAGGTGAGGACACTTGCTTTCTGATCCTCTGAAGTGATATGCGTTCAGGATTAATTTACAGATCAGCCATATTATTTAAACCATTCTTTTAACATTTCAACAACAAAAAATAGGTAAGCAAAGCAGAAATAAAACTAGGCAGAAGAAAAAACAGGAAAGAAAAAAGGATATTAAAATAAAAAAAAAATTAGGATGAAAAATGCTTTAAACATTAAAGCATTCGAAATGTTTTCAACAGTAAGTGAAATACTGACCACAAGGAGTAAAACTGCTCAGATTTTCTACCATGTTAATGAAAAGCCTGTTCATATGTAAACTGCTTTTGAAACCGCTTTTCAGATCAGGGTGTGTAGAGCGAGACCTTTCCTTTGGTGTAAGATAATATTTTTAATTGCGGACCACACACAACAAAAGCTGAGTTGTTCAAATATCAACAGATGTTGGGTTACGGCTAAAGTATATAAATTTAAAAATACATGTACATCTTTAACATTCATTTCTCCTCTAATCAACATTGTGGTGCAACTGTGCATTGTGGTGAATCCATGTGATGCAATTGTAGAACACTCTAAACACGAATCAAAGCCCTGCCTGGTAAATGCCCAAACAAATCTTTTGCAGACATTTGAGCATCTTAAGAATATAGAACACAAAGATAACTTTCTTTAAAACTCTAACCCATTCCAGCTCTTTGTTCCACACTTCTTGCCAGTTTCCCATTTCTGTTTTAACTGTCATTTTTCAATTGTAGAGGAAAAATTAACTGAAGACTATGGAATCTCTAAAACCTTTTGCAATAATATGAACAATTTTGGAATTTGGAACACTGCTAATATGTTTGGGCCATAACATATAAAGATATTTTAATTGAATATATTATGATTCTGCATTTTTAGTCCGTCCAAATTTGTTTTGCAACCCATTAAATTTAAATTAACAATAATTTAATCCAAAATATCGATACCATTATTTACTCAGGAACCCTGAAAAAAAGTTTTACTAGGAATTTTCAGGCTGGAATTGAACTGAATTGTTTATTTGTTTGGAGGGCTATTTGTGGGGCACTGTAGACATTGTACGCTGAAGTGATAGGAAGGGGAATCTGGCCGTTTTTCTTATATTTTGATTTAAGCTGAAGAAAAATATGGAAGATTATAAAGATCACTCTTGCTTTAAAGAAAGCCTCTATAAACTCCCATTTTTTTATGAAGCTTGGAGGAATCTAGTTGGGACCAAAAAAAATGCTTTGGGTAATTGTTCAACAAGTTCTGAAGTTACTTTTTAGTATAGACTTAAAAGAATTGAATTACAAATTTTCATTTTATTTATAGCCAACTGGAATATCAAACCTTTCTTCTTTTCAACTCTTTTTGCCTTTTAGGGAGATTCTGGTGGCCCTGTGGTTTGTAATGGAAGGCTCGAGGGCATTGTCTCCTGGGGTATAGGGTGTGCTCTGCCTGGCTATCCAGGAGTCTACACCAAAGTTTGCAAATACATCGACTGGGTCCATAATACCGTTGCTGCTAACTGAAACAGATGCTTTCCTCTTGTTCCAACCTCTTCATGTGATTCATCTTAATGGAGAATGAAATGAAATAAATAGAGCCTGATTAACACACTCTCTGTTTAATGTTTTTATTTTAATAATGGTCATATAGATCGAGCAGCGTATTAAGCAGCAGACAGAGAAAGAGAAAGAGGCCTATCCAGTGGTGGGTTTCAAATATGTGAACAACCGGTTCTCTGTGTGGATACCACTTCTGGAAGTCCATTCTGGGCCTGGGCAACAAAAAATTAGCTACCGGTTCTGCCGAAGTGGTGTGAACCAGCTGAATCCCATCACTGGGCCTACCTTTCTGCCAATTTAACAATAACCAATTGGAGAGACACAATGGGATATATGAGCATTGATTTGAACAAAAGAATTGTCTTCTTTTCCTTTCTTTTCTATTTACTATATTTTTTTCTTTGAATGCATTTCTTATTAGATATATACAATCTTTTAACAAAAAACTATTCAAAAAAATAAAACCAGAAATCGGGAAAAACTCACTTTTCAGAGTTGGGACATACTACTGTCATCAAGATGTTTTTGTCACTTGAGCTGTTCTGTCTGTAAAGATTTCTCCAATAGTTATGTGACAAGGCAATATACTATAAAGGAGTTTAAGTAAACATAGTGATAGAAGTAAAGGAAAGGTCTTAAAATTTTAATAATGAAAAAGAAATTTAAAATTGAATTTGCTGCAGTGGAAGCTTACTGCCTGGACAAACAAGTTTACCAAAAACTATAATGGCTGGGAAACAGGAAAGGATAGCATAAAGGCAGGATGTAAGATAAACACGTAGGCAAAAATTAGCTGGGTCTTAGAGTGGGAAAGGAAGAAGACAAGCTATAAAAACATCTGTAAGAGGAAATGGCTAGCCTGGAAAACTTAACTAAACTGAAAAACAGGAAAGAACCTATTGTTCTAAGGGACCCAGAACTCAAAACCAATAATTGAATATGTCTAATATTTTATATTATTAATGTACATGTGATGTATAATTTAGTATGTAGCAGGAAACAGGAAGGAGGCGGTCGTAAAGAGTGTAACCTCATAGTACCTCAGCCAATGGGGAAAGTGGAGGGATGTGGCAGCTGGGACAGGGCTGTATAAAGAAGGGAATATTTTGGGTTGAAACTTTGGAGAGAACCAAGCTTTGATAGCTTCTCTCCCCGCTTATTGCAATAAACGACACAAAAGGCCTTTACTGCGAGCTTGCCTCTGATCATGAAGGAAAGTGGCCAGGAGCACATAACAATAGGAAATGAGACATCTCAGAAAATCAGGTCAACAAATTCTCTCTAATTTACTACATTTCTGAACTCATAGGGATAGTTTTATTTATTTTCTATTTGAGGGATTCTATAATCATTTTCTAATGGTGTTATTTTAGGGGCTTTCTTCTAATTGCTAATTTTATGGCAGTGTTCTTTGCTGGTTCCTGCATAGTCCATTTTCAATTATAATTAACTCCAAGAATGCCCTTTTATAGTTAACTTTTCCAAAACCTGTCAATTAGTTTATTAATTATATAAATCTAAAGAGATGCCCATCTTACAACTGTGATTGTGGGCAGCATATGGAGAATAAAACAAATGAAATTGAATGAAAATAATAATAAATAATAATAATAATAAATTTAATTTATATGCCGCCCTTCTCCCAACGGGACTCAGGGCGGCGCACAACATATTTAAAACAAAACATAAATACATTCCCCCTCGATAAAACCGAATTAAATCAAATTTTAAAGTTGTGTCTCTGTCAAATTGTTAAAAGATAAACCCCAAATAAAATCCTCCCTAGGTCAGGTCCGCTTGCTGGAAGAGCCATGTCTTGAGGGCGCGACGGAAAGCAAGAAGATCCGGAATCATCCGGATCTCGGGGGGTAGTTCGTTCCAGAGGGTAGGGGCACCCACAGAGAAGGCCCTCCCCCTGGGGGTCGCCAGCCGACATTGCTTGGCCGACGGCACCCTGAGGAGGCCCACTCTGTGGGACTCTAATAATGACAAAAGATGATTGGCTGACTTGAACTTCAGACCCAGTGCCTGAGGGAACAACCCAGTCTTTAAGGACTTCCATAATGTTAGAAAATTTGGGATCCCATGAATCTCAAAGACAGCTGCTACAACAGAGAGAGCACACTTTCTGGGTCCCATCAATGGCATTGTTTAATAGATTGACCCAAAGTATGCCATCCCATTGGATCAAAGGAGACGGGCAGAAGTAAGTGGAGAGAGAGAGATGGTTCTACAATTAATCTGGATCCATGCTAAAATTCTGCATGTGGTATATATGGAATGCCCAAGATTCTTGTTTCTCATTTTTTTTTCTTTCCAAAGTCCTTGGCAATGCTAGTGGCCTTCCCAACATGAGCACACAAGGACACCAAATCACACAAAATTTCATTTTGAAAAGCAAAGAATATCTGTAACAAAATGCACAGGGCAGGAGCACTGGACCATGGATGATATAGACAGACTGAAAGGGAAATTTGTGACCTGGTTCAATTTTTCTCCAAAGACAAACTATCATATCCAGAAATAGTGATTATAGTTCTAGATACCTGGTTGTATAAGAAAAACTTCAAATAGAATCTATCCCAAAAGACAACTTTATTTATCTTACTTATTTATCCAATTTTAAAACCACCTTCACAGAGAGACTCTGGGCACTGTACAATAAAATATTAAAAACATAAAAACAGTATATAAAACATCAAAGAAGCAAGTGATGTTAAAAATTAATTAAAGCATGGGGGATAATTTTCAGGGCACTAATCAGTCCCATGTCTGTGTGCTCCTTTCTGCATCCCAAACAAGGCCAGAGAATTTTCACACCTTTCTCGAAGGGCATGAGATTGGGGTCTATCTCTGGGAGGGAGAATGTCCCACAGGCAGTGGTGGGATTCAGCCAGCTCATACCAGTTTGGCAGAACCAGTAGCTAATTTTTGGTTGGCCAGGCCCAGAATGGACTTCTGGAAGCTGGATCCACACAGAGAACCAGTTGTTCACATATTTGAATCCCACTATTGCCCACAGGGCAATGGCAGAGAAGGCTCTTTTTCTGGATTCTCCAGTCAAAATTCTTGATTGATAATCTCTGCAACATACCTTCCCTGCTTAACCAGGTGGGGTGAATGATGTAATAGGACTAAGATAACCTAGATAAAAATGCATGGCTCTAAATGATTAAATTAGCATGCACAGCTGATGGAAAGAACAAACAAACCTTTTTGTGATAGCAGTGAACCTAAGACTATAACTTAGGACAATTAAATTAATCAATGCAGTGAACATAAGACTATAACTTAGGACAATTAAATTAATCAATGCAAAAAATATATTAAAGGAATACGCTCTGCTGAAAAGATCAAACATTCCTCTCAATTAAATTTAACCAGCAGAATCAAAAACAAATCTGCTCTCCATGCTGGACAGACATCAGAAGGGATTCCAAAGTTTATCAAAATCCATACATGTATTTGTTGCAATAGAGCATCTCATTTATCTCCAGTGTTAATATGACAAGACAGTGTCATAATAAATGTAAAAGCAGGAAGTTTCAATGTACACTATAATGATGGTATATCTCCTACTGGAACTAGATCACAGAGATTCAAGATGGATTCTATAACTAACATTGCAATATATGAAAACTGTTGATTCATAGTCCTAATCCACTGGGTGCAGGAATATTGGCTAGCTTCAAAAATTAATTGTACAAGGGCAAACATAATATCTAGGTTTGCTCCAGAGATATTATTTACATATTGTTTCTTGTCTCTTCAGCTAAAAAGAATTGAATGCAGCTGAGAGCTCTGGGAAATGGAACCTGTGTTATTATCATTTGTTATCAACAGTTTCTCCAGGCTCATAACCTCATAATAGAATATTTTACATTTTCATATTTATTCTAGCTCCATCTTCAGCAAAAACCATGGATTTGAGATTCACAAAATAGACTTATTTTGTGTATCCACAGGAAGATTCTGGGAAGCCCATGTTTCCAGGAGTATGTATCCTAAATATTTGAGTATGAACTGAATGTTATTCATACTTGATTTGCTAGCAGGGGTGTCAAACTTGCAAGTCATGTGACGTGTCGTGATGTATCACAACTTTTTTTCCATTACCAGCAATGGGGTGGGCGCTGTTTTGGCATGACGCATCTGGCCCACGGACTGGCAGTTTTACACCCCTGTGCTATAGTCTGCAACTAGAATGAATGGATCAATATAGAAATAATTTCAGTCAATTGGAATAACTATTAGCTACGTAATTTTCTTGAGATATTTCCCTTTTTTCCAATATAAATCAGCACTATTGAATTTAATGTCAAATATATAGTTTGCTGCTGTTCAGAGGAGCAATAGAAGGCTTTTTACATAGTATATTCTGGCTCATATTCATTCATTAGGCATGTGCATGCATTTCAGAATGAGCTAAAAATGGAATCAAATGAGAGTCTTTCAGATCAATGTTCAATTGTTTCAAAATAAAGAGATTGAAATGAATAGTTTTTCATCTGCATCATAAATTGCATTCTGCCCATCTTTTATTTATATAGGCAATTGGCAGCTTATTATGTCACTGACAGCAGCATCATATTAATTCAAGATTATTTGTTTTCATGATTGACAACCATTTTTGGAATATGGCACAATTGGTGTATCAAATCATAAATAGTTAACTTGAATCAATCTTCCAAAAGTTAGTTCTGTTTAGATGTGTTGGACCATACCTTCCATCATTTACCATCTATGTGATCTCTGGAGAAGTAATCCACTGACATTGATTTATATGAATTAATCATGATGTGTAAGACCATTAATACTATGAGAAACTGCTAGAGATATCAAAATATTATAAACTTGTCAGGCACTGAACAGAGTTCAGAATATCCAGCGTATATACTCTAAAAAGCTATTGTGTCTAGAACCTTTAAGTGGGCAAAACAGTGTATCATAGGGCAAAACTTTGT